ATGGGAGTTCAGTTTACCATGGGAGTCCAGTTTACCATGGGAATTCAGTTTACCATGGGAGTCCAGTTTACCATGGGAGTCCAGTTTACCATGGGAATCCAGTTTACCATGGGAGTTCAGTTTACCATGGGAGTCCAGTTTACCATGGGAGTCCAGTTTACCATGGGAGTTCAGTTTACCATGGGAATCCAGTTTACCATGGGAGTTCAGTTTACAATGGGAGTTCAGTTTACCATGGGAGTCCAGTTTACCATGGGAGTCCAGTTTACCATGGGAATCCAGTTTACCATGGGAGTCCAGTTTACCATGGGAGTCCAGTTTACCATGGGAGTCCAGTTTACCATGGGAATCCAGTTCACTATGGGAGTCCAGTTTACCATGGGAGTCCAGTTTACCATGGGAGTCCAGTTTACCATTGGAATCCAGTTCACTATGGGAGTCCAGTTTACCATGGGAGTCCAGTTTACCATGGGAGTTCAGTTCACCATGGGAGTCCAGTTCACTATGGGAGTCCAGCTTACCATGGGAGTCCAGTTCACTATGGGAGTCCAGTTCACCATGGGAGTCCAGTTTACCATGGGAGTCCAGTTCACTATGGGAGTCCAGTTTACCATGGGAGTCCAGTTTACCATGGGAGTTCAGTTCACCATGGGAGTCCAGTTCACTATGGGAGTCCAGTTTACCATGGGAGTCCAGTTCACTATGGGAGTCCAGTTCACCATGGGAGTCCAGTTTACCATGGGAGTCCAGTTCACTATGGGAGTCCAGTTTACCATAGGAGTCCAGTTTACCATGGGAGTCCAGTTTACCATGGGAATCCAGTTCACTATGGGAGTCCAGTTTACCATGGGAGTCCAGTTTACCATGGGAGTTCAGTTCACCATGGGAGTCCAGTTCACTATGGGAGTCCAGTTTACCATGGGAGTCCAGTTCACTATGGGAGTCCAGTTCACCATGGGAGTCCAGTTTACCATGGGAGTCCAGTTCACTATTGGAGTCCAGTTTACCATGGGAGTCCAGTTTACCATGGGAGTCCAGTTCACTATGGGAGTCCAGTTTACCATGGGAGTCCAGTCTACCATAAAAGTCCAGTTTACGACTGAGGTCCAGTTCACTATGGGAGTCCAGTTTACCATGGGAGTCCAGTTTACCATGGGAGTCCAGTTTACCATGGGAATCCAGTTCACTATGGGAGTCCAGTTTACCATGGGAGTCCAGTTTACCATGGGAGTTCAGTTCACCATGGGAGTCCAGTTCACTATGGGAGTCCAGTTTACCATGGGAGTCCAGTTCACTATGGGAGTCCAGTTCACCATGGGAGTCCAGTTTACCATGGGAGTCCAGTTCACTATGGGAGTCCAGTTTACCATGGGAGTCCAGTTTACCATGGGAGTCCAGTTCACTATGGGAGTCCAGTTTACCATGGGAGTCCACTCTACCATAAAAGTCCAGTTTACGACTGAGGTCCAGTTCACTATGGGAGTCCAGTTTACCATGGGAGTCCAGTTTACCATGGGAGTCCAGTTCACTGTGGGAGTCCAGTTCACTATGGGAGTCCAGTTCACCATCGGAGTCCAGTTCACTATGGGAGTCCAGTTTACCATGGGAGTCCAATTTACGACTGAGGTCCAGTTTACCATGGGAGTCCAGTTTACCAAGGGCAGGGATCAGCAACCTGCGGCTCCGAAGCCGAATGTGGCTGTTTAAGGACTGCTTTGTGACGTTACTTATTCAGGACCACCGTCTCGTATTCACGTTGCATTTGCTGCGGCTCGACTTGCCATTTTGGTTTTGACGACCCCTGGGTTAGAGCATTCGGCTGGCAATCAGAAGGAAGGTGGTTCAAATCCCAGTCCGGGTTCGACTCCGCCCTTCGACCCTTCTCGAGTCAATAAAAAAGTCACCACTTGGTGCGAAACAATCAGTGGTTGCCCTATGTATAGACTCGTTAGCTCACCATAGCAATGTGGGGTTTCCACCACTTGGTTCATCTGCGGAAAAGAGTGCCGTAGCTCATCGGAATTCATCCTCCAGTCTAAAGAAAGATTATCATTCCCTACCGTTAGGAAATTCGTTCATCCGATAATGTGGATGCTTTTAAATCTCGTCTCAAATCGCATCCGTTTGTGTCAGTTTCCAGAATTCTATTTAGCGTCTCTTTCCATATCCTTATTCTTCCAAGGCGCCTTGAGACGTTAGGGGAAGGCGCCTTAGACACAAATGTAAATTATTATTATTGTTAAACCATTTGGTTTGGGTACATTTCGGTTGAGCTCACCGGCACTGCCGGTGATTAACCGCGAACGTGACACTTACTCACCGAAGCTTTGCTGAATTACGGTGATGAAAAAGATCAGGACGTATTAAAATGAATGATACGCATGTGATAATACGCAATAATAGTAAAATGTTATAATATACAGCACTATGTCAATCCACTGTTGGATGAAGACCTCCATGTCAGTCATGAGGGGTTGTTTGACCATACTTCACCATGCCGGTCAGTGGGGGGCCAGAACCGGTTCAGATCTCCCTTAACAATGAATTTAACAGCGACTGGAAATCGAATTCAGGTCGCCTGGTTGACAGTGCAATGTGCCACTAACGGACCATGATCTATCCACTGTTGGATAAACTCCTCCCACACTCGTCACCACTATCCTCATTGTATTAAACTTAGATTTATTTACGGTAATTAAACACAAAAGTATATAGTGAAAATGTTTTATAGGATATAATGGGCGTCACGATGACGAGATGTTAACTACCTCGCCTGGTCGTGGGTTCAATCTCGACTATGGCGCCTATATATGTTTGGAGTTTGTATGTTCTCCACGTGGTCGCTGGGATTTTTTTCCGAGTCCTCCGTTTTTTCCCTCCACATTTATAAACATGTGTTTAGAGTATTTTGGTGCTATAAATTATCCACGTGAAAATACACTTCGTTGAGCTATCAATTGTGGCCAGGTCGCTTTTATATATTAAAAAAAAGCTATATTAGCTCAGTGGGCCTTACCTGGTAAAATAATAAAAAATAGTTTAGTTTAGCATCATATATTGTACCGTGTCCTTCTAAAATAAAACACTAATATAATAATTTCAACATCGATAACATTTCGTTTAAAAGCAAAAAGCTGAAAATAAACCTTTGTCAATAACACTGCCTTCAAATACAAACACAATAAGCAATGCACTGGACAAGAGCCCTGTTTGTGTGGTACCATAGATTCCAGGAAGAAAGACCATTGCCCAGAAATGTGGCTGTAATATATTTTATTTCATTTCAAGGCCACGGTGTCATTGGTGAATGTGTTTGAGTTATTTTTGTTATTTGTCCATAATAAAGGTTTTTCTTTTTGGGTTAGATCGCATAAATATAACGTGTCGTTAACCCACCACAACACACCGGTGTGCTGAAGTAGTGACTAATTGGCACGTTTTAGTTTACATGACAAACCTTACTGATTGACCATGAAATTCCAGTTCACCATGGAAGTCCAGTTTAACATCTAAGTCCAATTTACCATGGGAGTCTAGTTTACTATTGAGTAAGTTTACTACTTACTGTTCACATTGCTGAAACGTGGGTGGAAAGTCTACATACCTATGAAAGGGTCAAGTTCTCGTTTCATTGTCATCCGGAGGGATTATGGGATGGGAGGATTTCTCCACAAAACTGGCTACCGCCTAATGATGCTGGTTGTAATTACTGGCGAAACATTGTACTCGAATTGTTAATGTTGTGGGTTTACGTGACAAACCTTACTGTCGGGTGGTGGTGAGTTTAACGACACATTTATATTGATGCAATCTAACCCAAAAAAGCCCCCTGTATTATGGAAGATTTCGAGGTGGTTATGGCAGCGGCAAGGTGGCTCCGTTCGTCAACCCCAGTGGCAGAGCACCGAGCCAGCAGTGCTGACACGTTGAGGTTGAATCTCAGGTGGCCACTCCACTTGAAGATTAAGTCAACGTTCGATTTTTGCTCACGTGAATACGGACATACAAATCATGTTTTACTTAATGTAGCCTTGCCCAAGTAAGAGGGCTGAAATCTTGACTTAAAGCTTTCGTGACTGCAGGAATTCATTTTCTTGGGTCTTTCGGTAAAGTCACGTAGATAGGCTCAAAGAAAATAATTATTTGAACCTATCTACGTGACTTTACCGAAAGACCCAAGAAAATAAGAAGGCTTACTTGGCGGATTGCCGTGGCGGCGAGATGTTAACTCCCTCGCCTGGTATACAGGAGGCCGTGGGTTCGATCCCGACCCTGATGCCTGCTGTATATTTAGAGTTTGTGTGCCTCTTTCCCTGTGCCCGCGTGGATTTTTCTCCAGGTCGTCCGGTTTTGCCCTTCACGTTAGGAATCGACGTCACGCGTTCAGAGTATTTGGCTGCTATACATTGCCACACGATGTTAACTTCATTGAGCGATCATTTGTGATGGCCGAATCGATTCGAAAAAAGAGATATACAGCTCAGTGGAGCCTTACCTGGTAAAATATTTTTTTTTTGCAGTAATAGTAAAGAGTAAATAGGCACCCAAACCAGTGGCAGAACAAGGCGGCTAAAGAAATCATTGCAGCGCCTCCTCTCAGCTGGACCTATGAAGTATGTCTGAAGAAAATCTAAAATCTCTCATGCTAATTTCAGGCTGTTCCCCATTTAACATCACTTTGTCAATCCACCGCTGGATGAAGGCCTCTGCAAACTTGATTAGTCACGGAGATTGTCTGACCATACTTCACCACGCTGGTCAGTGGACAGCCACGTGGCGAGTGGTATCAGCAATCGTCCTGGGCCTCCCTTAGGTCGACTCAGACTTTAACGACGATAAGCTACTGTTCTGTTCAAACAACAGCAGTGGAGAGATAAATGCTGGCCACACCACTCCAGTAGCGTGGTGCATGTGCTCGTTAAACATCACTCATCCCCCAATGGTCTGTCACGTGACAACAGAGGAATCTTTGCATTGCGCGCAGCAGACATTCGACGTACCTTCACATTTCTCCAAGATCTGAACGCACTCTCCGATCTCCAGAGGCAGGGCGTGTGACACCGGGGCGCAAAAGTTACTGACCACTGTGGAGACACACACAGCGACGCGCAGAGCAGTCACGAGGAGGTACAACCAAAACCCACAACAATCATCAAAACCACTTGTGATTACCATATTCTACACAACAAAGATGCCCCGGAAGGTAAAAACGCATGCAAAACTGGTGGATAAACAATATATCCATACAATACTGGTCTCACACGAACACACCCCTATCCGATTATGAGACGCACCTCCAAGCTTTTGGTTTTAAAATACAGGGGAGGGAGGGGGGGAAATATGTATCTTCTAATCTGGAAAATACGGTAATTGGCAAAGTCTGCAAGGACACATAGGACGACTTATTAATTGAATTGTTGTTACTAGTTTCTAACGGGCAGGGTGAAAGGGATCTTTGTTCATCGTTATGTTGGCTCCAGGCTTAGAAATGCACGCATCTATCTTGCGCTGGCAGAATAGCGCACTGAACAAACTCCACTCCAAAGAGAACAACAAGTTCGGTTCAATTAATCGCTTTAAAATTAACGAAGCTGACGTTGCTCGCGTGCGGCCGATCTCCCAAGACAATCGCCGTGCACTCGGGACATTGTCCCCAAAAGCGTCTTGCATACGGACAATGCCAGACGCGCGCAACACGCGCGCACGCCCGCGGCAACTAAAAACAACCGGCTCGCGAGTCAAGGAGGTAATAATAGACGCGGGCGGCGCAATTTAAATAGCCGAGGTGTTATTTACATGGCCAGCGTGACGGACAAGATCGCTACCGCGCAGGGGCGGCCGATCCCCCTGCGGGGTTAACAGCGGCGCGCCTCGTGTCCCGACGCTGTCCCGACAGTGGTCAGTCAGCACTGGCATGGATATATTTTTATTTTTATTTCTCGCGCGCAGAGAAGATCGATTTTGCGATGGACGCGCCGGGCACCCCTTCGTGCAATCCCACGACGGTCGCGAAAGCGAGCAAAGCCAAAGCATAGGGGGCCCCAAGTTGCTCACCCCGTCCTCCCTCCCCCTATTAATTCATGACAATAAATTGAGGTGTAACCCAATAGCGGCTGAAAATTCGAAACACAATAAGCTAATTAAAATAAACAGCCAATTTATGATAATTTCTACAGCGCCTGCATCTCTCTTTTTTGACACCTAACCACGCCTCTTTTTTGTCTACATCTTTCTTTGCGTCTCTGTCGCGTGCCTATATCTTGACACCGTCCAACCAGTGGGCTACTCTTGCGACTAACGTCCCGGGATCTTTAACGCCCGCTGTGAAACAGACGACGCGCAGTGTCGTTGTGGTTAACGCACGCCGCGGTATTAATCGGGGCGGCCGCTGGAATGATTGAACCGCCGGAATCGGCGGAAACGTGCTTCCGCAAAGCCGCATCACCGCCAAAACTAAACAAACAAACAAACAAAAAACGCAACAATTGTGTTGAAAACAACGCGTTTTTTTTATATCACCCACATACGCGAGTGGTTGCCAGTCAAGATGAAAACCATAGCCTGGTCGGGAAGTCGAACGCACGCGTGGCCCTGTAGACCACGCCCCATTCGTCTCTGCTTCGGGGCCACCACTGGGTCGGCACAACCGCTACCCACTGACCGCCCCCTCCCTTCTAAACCACCGGCCACGTGGCCTGCGTGGCGTGCCCGCGGCGTGCCGCGCCGCCGTGGGTGGGGTGCGTTGCGGTTGTTGCCGTCAAGCTGTGCCACTCGATGCCGAACGGCGGCCAAAATGAGCGGGGCTATGGCCAAAAGCCACGGGCGGGCGGGCGTTTCGGGAGCCACCGCACTCGTTTAATCAATCGTAGGCGGTGGCTCAGGGGCACCCAAAAGCAGTGCCGGATTAAGCTAGTGCGGGGCCTGTAGCATATGTTATAAAGATGTCCTAAATAAAAAAAAACCCATAAATATTAAAACACACATTTTTCACTTGCACAGCAAAGTAAATGTATTACTTCATTTGATATGCAGCCAGATAATATGATAAATCGCTAACCTTAAACACCCAGTCGTTCATAAAGATTGAAAGGCGGTATAGTACTATAGTAATAGAGCAAGTGCAGAATCGCTGAACCGGAATTGATAGCTTGAAAGCATTTAGCGCGGGGCCCTTGAAAGTGCGGGGCCCGTAGCTACCACAAATGTAGCTACTTTTGCGACGAGGATAATCCGGCACTGGTGCCAACGCACCCACAGCCACGGACCGAGTCCCCTCTGTCGAGCCTGCTGGTCCAAGACAATCTGGATAGCCGGTGCCCGTGTATACACAGCGCGGGGACTGCGACGCAGCGGTAGATGCGAGCTGAAAGTAGCGTACAGTGTACGAACATTACCAAGGGGACACGCAACGCGTTGAGCTAAAAATGAATCTCAGTGACCAAGTCGAGGAGTACAATGGAAGGCTTTAATAAGAAACGCTTGTTCAATTGCACGCATGAGCGTGACCTGCTGATTGAGTGTGTGAGCATGGTCACGGACCCCCTCTCGTTTCGCCGGCAACAGGCTGTCCGGGCGCGTCCATTTAGCCAGCGTCCGGCAAAGCTCAGCATGCTAATGATGAAACGCCTCTCCAGGTGCTCAGCTTGCACCGAGGCAACTTAAACGGCGACAAAGGCGAGGATTCGTAGACCAGCGGCGCGGCTGGTCTGCACGGCCACGAATCAAGACTTGGGCTGCTGAGGTCGTGACGCGGCTAGCTAACCAGCTCATGCTGGCGATCGATATTCGGCCGTTTAAACAGATGTAAATGGCCTCGATTCATCCACTGAAATAGGTTTCGTGTGTACGAGAATCGATTGCATGCTTTTTTATCCAAATTCTATTTAAAAACAAAAATGACGTGTAATTTTAATGGACAGCCTTTATCGATGCGCTGCTGGATGAAGGACTCCGCACACCTTTTACGGTGGTGGTGGATGTTTGACCATACTTCACCACGACGGTCGGCAAGGGGTGTGTTCAGCACCGGTTCTCCACTGATGTTGCGCGCTGTGGTCACGAATCAAACCCAGCTTGCAGCCACCCCACGAAGACGACGATGTGCTCACGTTTGTATGTACGTTGAACTTCTTTCGTGCCATACGTAGCCAACTGTTCTAATCGGAGGCGCGGTGGAAGGGCAACAAACTAAAACACAAAAAGCAGTTCTAAAGGCTCGTGTTATAGTGTAGGCTCGTGAAGTGAACGAAAAAAACCCACCAAAAATACAAAAACGATCGTTTCTTGAATCAAATCACGTGAAAATTCACCAAATTTCTGGGGGTGTGGTGAATTATGATATGTCTTAGTCACAGCAATGCCTCTTTTGCACTGTACAGCCATGCGAAGGCTGTGCCAAGCCTGATCGGAGTGGGTCAGAGGAGGTGCCAGGTCGTGTTTCCACTGCAGAAGCCGAGCCGTTGCCACTGATGTCGCAACAAATGATCGCGTTGAGACATACCGACTGATGTTACGCGCAATTAATGCACCATTAGCCGCCGCTGCTGGCCTTGGTTGGCACAGAAAATAGACAGTGGACAAGCAGCCGTGCAATGAGAGGGCCCTGTTCTGGCTTGGCCTGGATGTGCCGGTGGGAAAGGAGTATGGGGGTTTGGGGGCTTACCTGTTATATCATATCACGTTCCACTTAACAATGTAAGAGGCAACGAATGAAAATTCATAGCCGTCGTGAATATACAAAATTCACGCTTCGACCGTGCGTGTGTGTCGGGCGTGGTGCTGCCCCCCCCCCCCATCCAACACCTCGTGTGCCGTGCTGGCAAAGGTGCCTGCTAATAAGCACTTGTCTCGAGAGCCTCGTTACGGTTATGTGGGAGGATCTTGTCTCTGGCCATCTACATCATCACCCATTGCTGAGTTTACGGTATATACTGCCTTCGATTGCTCTCGTACCAGTGCTTTAAGAATGCGAATTTCACTCCATAGAGGGCACAGAGTTTCAAGCAGAGCGCCTCTTCTACTCAGAACTGAATTAAGCTAAACAGACACGAAGATGAAATCCACCGAGGCTTAAAGTGTAGAAGCAGTAATAATGTACAAGAAGCAGACGTTACAATGTGATGGAAAGCCGTGTTGTATTGCAACGTGGATTTGAAAAGATCCGAACTTCAGGCATTGTGCGTATGTTTATGAATATATCTCTCGCCTAAATATAACCGCGCCTCAAAATGTTGCACAGCCTGGTGAGACGCGTTCATTGCAGGTACCTAGTAACTGGATATGAACTTAGACTTGACCAGGAGCAGGACAGAGAGCCAAGATCACTGCTGGCTTGAGGGGGAGGAGGGAGCGTTTCCAACCACGGAAACAGGAGAAGAGAAGAAACTTCCGCTGCACTTAAAGCAAAGCGTGGCATTGTCCATACAAATTAACCTCTATCCCCTTCTACAGACAGATGTCAGCTTTATAGACGTACAACAATATATTGCAAAAACTATCACAACTAACTGTACAGAACGCGCACACACACACACACGCGCGCGCTCGCCTCCCTTAACGCAGTGACGCAGGTCCAGCCACTTTATACTGCATCTTGATACGCCGATTAATTCGTCGCGCGAATCCACCTCGCAATGGCAACGAAAAAAATAACGGCGCGCGCACGCACGCACACAAAAAACAAAAACAAAATCACAGAGCGGCAACCGTTCTCTTCGAGATCCTTCTCGTGGGGGCTCTCGTTTCAGAGACGCGTTCGCCATTGATTATACATTTTCCATCGAGAGAGAGAGATCATTACCGCGGCGGAGGTCAGTAATTGCAACGACGCGATCGCCACACGAAGCCTGGGGAAGGGTTTCCACTCCGTGCGTTCGGCGCTCCTTGTGGCCCGCGCAGATTGTCGTCGTGCCTCGCCACGAATCAGGAGCGGACCCCGGCGGCTGTTCGGACGATCTCGACGTCCGTCCCTGGATGCCCCCCCCCCCGTTCACGCTTCTCGAAGCGTCATCCGCCACATCGCGGGCGTTTCGGCGGGCACGGCGTTGAACGCAGGCAAAGAGCGGCCGACGGAGGTCGTTCGGAA